CGGACTAGATGATCTGCTCAGGTCCCTTCCGACCCTAGAAACTATGAAACTATAAAACTAGTAGAGTCATGAGCCAACTTTGCAGTCACTCTCAGACAGGTACCAGCACCACCACTGAAGTCCTTACAGTCCATTTCCTCCAATGCAATGAAATCTACCTGCCTGGGCAACCAAAGCAACCTCTCTATCTAGCTTGGGCCTTGCACTGAAAGGCAGAAGAAGCAGGAGATGTTGCACCTCCTACAAAGAATCTTCCCTGGGATACATATAGGCCCACTAGCTAGAAGGCACTGGCAGACCTCCATTTCATTCCAGTGCTGCTATCTAAGCAAAATGAGCCAAATCAGAGACTAGGCACCAGAACAAGCATTTCCATTATACCACTTCACATAGGCATGGCGAAAAACCATTTAACAAGGGGCAAGAAACACTTTTAAACCCTGAGGGTGAGAAAAATCTCTCTGAGTCAGTGTCTCATCCCTTTCAACAGGCTGAGCATTCCTTTTTTCCCTGCAAGCAGCCAGGTTGAGAGTATCCAGAAATTCAAAGCGATAAAGCCCTAGCACAACAGAAAATGATTTCTGCTATCTCAAACTGCAGTGTTCCTACCTGTTACAGCTATTAAATCCTCTCTCTGAATGCAATATATAGGAAGGGTTAAGCATACAATGCACATGAAATTCTAATAGGAAGTGGAGTTTGCTGCAGCTGAAATAAAGGGCAATAAAATTCTGCTGATTACTCCTTCTTGGTTCCCCTAGACCAGTGGTCTCCGAAGTGGGGTGTGCGCACCCAAGGGGGTGCGCAAGACGATCCATTGGGGTGTGAAAAGAAAATATTAGAACTTCTATTTCTATTTATATAAATATACATACATTGGGGGTGCAGGCTCAAAATTTTTTTTACTGATAGGGGTGTGCGATCAAAAAAGTTTGGAGACCACTGCCCTAGAAAATTAAGTCTCATAGAAAGGTACAGGACTTGAAACTGCCCTCCAGCGAGCGAGCATTCCTGTTGTGCTGCACTCAAGCAGTAATTAGCATATGAATTGCATTTCACTGCAATAGTGGAGTTTTATGGCTTGAACCATTGTCCCCATGTCAGGATCACCAAATAAACTGCAGCATGACTTCTACAGCAGTCATGAAATCCAGATGTTTATAGTGTATTTTCCTCCACAGATCTGAAAGTGCTCAACAGAAAGGTCAAGTTTAATTCCTTTCCCCCTGCCCCACCCCCTGTGTTACAGACACAAGGTTTAAGCAACTTGCCCAGGGGGTTATTATCCAGTTAGTGCCAGAAACTTCAAGAGAAATCAGGTTTCCCAGTCCTGCGCCCAACCATGTTTCTGGTGCCTTTAGCAGATACTTCCAGTCAATTTAAGCCACTGCCCTCAAGTCCTCAAAAACCGGACTTACCATGTCCTTCGCTGGACAATATTGATCTGTAATTTTTGTTGTCAGTGATCTAGAGTGATCCCACTCACTGGGGGAGAGAGTGGGGGAAGGGAGAGAAAGACTCAAGATGCACCATATAATAATAATATTATTATTAATAATGTTTAGAAAAAAAAACAAAATGTTCTACTGATCTCCACTTCCTTCTTCTGGAAAGGAGGGAGAGGGTCCCATTCCCCCGCCCCGCCTCCATCTTCATGGTAAATCAGACTTGGTGCCCAGGCTGTTGAGCATTCATGACCAAATTACATCTATTTGGTGCCAAGTCAACTCACACTATGAGGTGAAGGGTTCAGTGCTACCCTTTGTTTCTAGTCTAGCAAAGAGATGAGACAGCATCAGGTGGTAAGAACAGTCACCCACTCCTTGGCACGTAGGGTGCCCCCACTGTCTGTTGTCTGCATTGCAGCTGCCAATTTGTTCCACAAGAAATCCTCCTAATCCAGAAGGAGCATGGTTGCAGTGTAGAGTCTTTAGCACTAGGACGCTGAGGGGGTTAAAATGCTTTGGATGTTGTGTGTGGTGGCATTTGCCTTGCTTTCTGAGTCTAAAATCTTCATGCCTGGGGAAGAACTCACATTTACAGAACAGCCCATTGTAATGTTTTCTAGTAGCTGTGTTTTGCCATGTTGGCATCTATGGAGTCTGCATGCCTCTAGTCTGCAAAGAATTTATGCCTTCAGCCTTTCTTCAGTAGCCATAACAGACTTAAGCTGCATCTTTAAAAAACAAAAAATTGGAAGGTGTTTGGTTTCAAGGGATCCTTTGCACAACCATCTGATAACATCAAGGCAAGCCTAGTACCTGCTTTATAGGTTAAAGGTCTTAGGCAAAATTTCAGCTCAAAATTAATCTGGCGTTAGAATTCAGAATAAATTATACTGAAAACACCAGTAAGTTTCAATAAGTATAAAATTTCAATAAGTTTTTTTCAAAAATTTCAAGTTTCAATAAAATGTGACAGACTGATTTTGGGAAGTTGTGAAGCTGCCATTCAAATTCCCTCCATCAAGTCAGAGGGTGGGTGTGGATGGGAAGGGGGGATTCTCTCTCTTTTTTAAAGGGTGTTCCTGCCATATTATAGGTACATTAGTGCAGCTGTCAAAGCCAAGCATGAAGTGGAGAGAGTACTGTCCTCAGTGCCTAGAATACAGCTATAAGTAGCACTAAAATAATACAAAAATTAGTTTTTCAATATTTGTTCCAGGTTTTATCCTTTATAACTTGATTATGGTGGGAATATTGGGGGAAGGGGGGCAACACTTTTGCTTGAAGACAATATTATATTGTCTGGGTAATATTCCTTGTTTGGTTAGGACATGCTAGTCCAAGGCAAGTACTACATGTCCTATACCCCACACCATGCTGTAGGGTACTGGAACAGACTTGTCTGGCAACATGCCAGGAGCTTCCCAATTGTCACTTAAATACCAGTGTTATTAAAAGCTTCTGAACTGTTTACTGAGCAAGTGGAGACAGACAAACTGTTACCATTCCCCAGTGCTAGGCACCCTCAAGGTCATTTGTAATGTGGGAAAGCTGCAGTCGTGAGACTCCTACACACACACGTCACTGACTTTTTAGTAGGAATCAGACAGCGTAATAGTTGCTGGTTGGGACAAAAAGAGGAACAGCATGCATCGCCAAGTCATTCTGTATGCTCTTTCTTAAGACAAACTAGTCACAGACATTACATATGTCACCATTTTTTCTTTAAACTGGTGCTGTATTTTCCAAGGGATACAGGCTGTACATTGGATACATGCTCCCTTCCCCCTGCTAGACTTCTCAGTTGCCCGCATGTCTAATTTAAACCCCAATAAGTACAAGGGATTTTCTGTATCTCTGTAAATCAAGACCCTTGGAAAAGTTAAACTCATACAACCCTATGAGGTTAGTATGCTTCCCCAAAATGTTACAAATGGATTTAAAACATGGCACCAAGGCAAAATGACTTCCCTGAGGGCATGTTTCAGGAATGTCCAAAGAAGACATTTTGTTGTAAGTGTGGTCACTCGCAATTTTCACTGAAGGTCAACAAGAGACAAGGCTTTTAGTGTAGGAGGCTGGGGACATGCCCATCAACTGTTTAAGGCACAGAAGGCATTTGTGGTAAGGCACCAAACCCCCTATAAAAGCCACATACTACAGCAGTGGGATACAGGGCCACCCTCACCTTGCCAGTGAGCAATTAAACTATTGTGCTTGAAAGGGATTGCACAATGTGTGTGTAAGCCTGCTCTCATATTACCTGGGGGTGCCACTCGATCCTGGTATTTGGGTTCGAATTCACTGATGGTGAGCAGCATAACTTGAATGGTCCCAATGAATATACCTGCCAGGCAGCCGTAGAAAATGAAGTAGAAGAGAAGAATCTTAACTGCAGGAGAGAACAGAAGGATCATCAAGGCCTGAATGCAATCACATGATTAGGCCAAAAAGCCAGCTTTTCCCACTTCTGTGGGAAAGCCCCACACTACAAACATACATGGATCACAACATTGTCAGTGACATGCATGGGAGGGAGGGGTGGGAAAATAATTGCAATCAAATGACCTAACATTTTACAAACTAGAAGTCAAAGATTTCTCAGTTAGAAGCTATTTGAAATTCATTATTTGTTTTTCAGCCCCCTTTCTGGCTGACCCATTAGCACTAGTCCCTGCTGACATGGGGCAAAACAAGAGCGAGTGTGGTGAAGGACACATCCATTATGTGCGCCTGTCTCCTGGCAACGTGCCTCAAAGGAACTAAAGGAGCGAGCCTTCCAAATCCTACAGAATTCCACTGGGAGTTCTCCCTGTGTGAGCACCCCGATGGTCCCAGTCTCAAGCAGAGCCGACCCCAAAACTCTAGGTCAGTGGTTCTCAACCTCTTTAGACTCAAGACACGCCTCAGACTTAAGGCGCCCCTGGAAAATGCCAGCTCTTAGTTTCCACTTGTTTTTTGACTACAGAAATGCAACAGAGCAATTCTTCTATTGCAAAGAACTCAGGAAGTCCATAGCAGGTCAGAATGTTTTTAATACTATGGATCCTGTTTGAAATCTCCGGGTTTAAATCTTGTGAATCATGTTTGCACACCTAACAGTAGTAACACGGGGTGGCACTTCACAGCACTCCTGAAAAGATTAAGGCATCTCAGATTCACCTAGAGCTGTGATTCTCCATCTCAATGCCTACTAATCAAGAAGAGATTTTCTAGGAACAGGAGAAAAATAAAATAAATAAAAAACCAAATATCAGACCTCATACTGGCTCCCCCAGACGCCCAAAAGCCACTAAGATTTACTGTAATTGGACAAATCCTGCTTATATTAAGACTAGACTAAACGGTCAATTTCACAACAATGACTGATTAAGTAATTTTTGCTGTGAAAAAAAAAAAGGGGGGGTCTGAACTCATCTTAGAAGAAACCAGAAAGCACCAAACACTACTGGGAATCTGGATATCAGTTACTAGTTTACAAAGATTATCTCAAATGATTAACTACACAGTAACATGCTGTACTAGGCATCACAAGTCAGCTCACAGGAAGGATAAGCCAGCCCCATGCCAAGCAACTATATACTAATGAGGGGAACAGGACAGAGCAAAAGCAAAGAAATCTGTGCTAGAGATAACAGATGATCTGAGGGGGCAAAAAAAGTCCTTTTTGACTTCAGAATGCACTAATCTGATTGCAACTCTAAAAACAAAGGCTCATCTGCAGGCTTTGAAGTTAGAACAGAGGTTGCCAAGAGGGAAGAGAAAAGCTCCTCCTCCCCATCATAAAACATGCTCAGCTACCAGACTAGCACAACCACTACAAAAGAACTTGCTTCTTGGCTTTATTAATTGTAAATCTATTAAAGTGACAGCACCAGGGACAGGGGGCAGACAACCAGCAAGACCAGACTGACATGGTCATGGATCACGCAGAAAATTATGTCCCGTCCCATCCCCCACCCACCCACACTTCTTCCTTGCTGCACAAAGAAGAAAAACTTGTGAATTCAACTGTGCAGCACTAAATCTCAGCACACCCAGGGTTACAAGGCACCCAGGGTTAAAAGGCATTAGGCAAGTGGCTGTGACATCAGAGACATTTGGAAACATTTTCCAGAGCAGGATCATAGGAGGTGCTCTTGTAATAAGCCAAACAAGAATGCTGCAGTGTCTGCTTGCCTCTGACTGTCTGTCCACCTCTGATTTTCATTACATCAACAGGGCAGTGCTAGGAGGCAGAATATTTGACCGGTTTCTCCAAACAGGATGTTTGTCGAGACTCATATACTTACAATGTACACAGTGTCTACTGAACTATTGGAAGCTATCCAGTAAATCCAGTGACAGAGTTGAAGAAGTCCCAAAAGAAGCAAGCACTTGCCAACAGGTTGGTTTTTAGACCAGGGCTGGATTCATAGGGGATGCTGTTGTGCCACTGACTTCAATGGAACTGCACCAGTCAGCATCCGGCCCTTGGTATTTCACTAGGGCACTTTGTGGTAGGTAGTTTATCCTTTTTAAAAAAAGTGTCTCAGGTTATGCAAGTAGTAGATACACCTCCGTACTCATACACCAATTCTCACTTCACACTGCCACACAGCATGAGCCATCCATAACCCTGCTGCCTGCCCGTTTTAGATCTGGCAACTCTGGACGTGGCATCCTCATTCGGTCAAATCAACAGGGGCTAGATTCAACATAGGCCAGCTGCGGTTGGCAGGCACCCTAATATTGGCTAAGAGGCTTTTACAATTTATGTATATGGCCTCATCGTATTTGTACCCACCTAATAAATATATAGTCTAAACCTTCAGTCATCACTTCATGCTGGCCTAACTATTTCCTTATTCACGCACTACAGGAGCCACTGGCTTTGCAGGCCGTGGTAAAATTCTTAGGTCCCTTTTCCATCACAGAAAAAAAATATGCAACCAAGAGGAATGATAGCAACTACTAACAAAGCCATTCCCTTCTTAGGAGTCTACAAGTAACAGGAAGACCCCAGGTTTGCTGGTGGGAACCCAGGAAACCAAGAAAGGAGCCCAAGGGCAGCATGCCCTTTCCCCAAGGGCAAGCATGTCTACCCCCTCAGCTCCAAGATGCTGATGTGCTCCCTGTTTATTAAGGCAAGAGTGGGATGATCTCCACCCCAGCCTGGTGCTAGGTCCCTCCTGCCTGCCCCCAGGTCCCTTTTGAGGGGCTAATCGGAGGAGTGGCATAATCAAGTAATACCTTCCGGTAACTTTCACCAGTGGAAGGTAGGTGGGCTATGGAGCCATTTAAGTAGCTATCCTATAGACAAGTCTGAGTCTTTAGTGTTTCTTTTGACTGATCTGGAGCTGCCTGTGTCCCTTGGGCCAAAGCCAAAAGAGCCGAGACCTGGCTGACCTTGCGACTGGGGGAATCCAAGCAGCCGGAAGGAAGGAGATGGGGGAGGCCAGACCGAATGGCAGTGCCGGCGACCTTCAGACAGGGTGCCCCCGGTCAGCGCAGCGCAGCGCAGACTGCAATGCACCTGCAGGTGAGCCTGGGAGGCAGGTGCAGAACCGCACCAGGCGCCGGGGAGGCAGCAGTTGGAGGCGCACGTTTTTCTGCGCCTCGCAGCCTGGCTTCAAGTTCCAGCCAGTTGCTAGGAGACAGCTTCGAGGGGCTCCTTCATTCCCGAGCCCTTGTCCCCAGCCCGACAGCGCCGGCTCCCTCCTCAGCCGGCTCAGGTGGTTCCTCCAGAAAGTGCGTGCGTGGAGGGGTGGGGGAACCATTAAGTGGAGTAGCAG